ACTGTACGTATTAATTGATTCAAAGAACTATTAATTGAGCTATAGATTGAATTCATTATTTGTTCTAGCTGCTATATCAGAACTCACAGCGTAAAAGTTATTCACTGTGTAATTAATTGAGTTATGATTATAATAGCCAACTCGTGTTTCGCTTTGCAATAGGTGTTTTTGAATGCATGTCTATAAAAAACATAGTTATGTTTATATCTATTTGTACATTTTTTAAATATCCCGTTAAGATTTTTCGTTTCTTAACCTAGAAATAATAACTTAAGTTCAATGGTAAAATATAAATCTTTGGTAATTATATCGACCTCCGGACCTCACGCGAAATTAAAAATTTCTTTTTTCAAAATGGTCGAAATTTCACGCTGATTTCAAAAATGATTGTCGTTTTTTTCGGAAACGTCCCGTTTTCCCGGAAAATGGGAAAAACGGGAAAAATATTTTTTGCTCAAAACCCATGTTGTGGGTACTCAAATTATGCGGAATTTCCTCCTGGACAAGAATATGTAAATTGTATTACGATCGGACCACTATTAAGTAAAATATCACCGAAAAACGGGAAAACGGGGAATTTTTTTTGCTGAAAACCCATGTTGTGGGTACTCAAATTGTGCGGAATTTCATCCTGAACAAGAATATGTAGTTTTTATTACGATCGCTTTTAAGTAAAACATCACCGGACAGGTTAACTAACCTAACCTAACTTAGGTTTAAATTAGGTTAGGTTAGGTTAGGATAGGTTAAGTTAGGTTAGGTTAAGTAAGGTTAGGTTAAGTTAGGTTAGGTTAGGTTAAGTTAGGTTAGGTCAGGTTAAGTTAGGTTAAGTTAGGTTAGGTTAGGTTGGTTTAGGTTAGGTTAGGTAAAGTTTGGTTAGGTTAGGTTAGCTTAGGTTAGTTTACTTACAATACTTACCTATTCTAACCTAATCTAAACTAACCTATCCTAACCTAACCTAAGTTCGTAAGTTAGGTTAGGCTGGGTTAGTTAATCAATAACACGAGTATTGGAAGTAAACTAACCTAACCTAACTAAACCTAACCTAACCTAACCAAACTTAACCTAACCTAACCTATCAAAACTCAACCTAACCTAAACCAACCTAACCTAACCTAACCTAACTTAACCCAACCTAACCTAACCTAACCTAAACTAACCTATCCTAACCTAATCTAAACCTAAGTTAGGTTATGTTAGGTTAGTTAACCTGTCCGGTGATATTTTACTTAAAAGCGATCGGTTAGGATAGGTTAGTTTAGGTTAGGTTAGAATAGGTGAGTATTGTAAGTAAACTAACCTAAGCTAACCTAACCTAACCAAACTTAACCTAACCTAACCTAAACCAACCTAACCTAACCTAACTTAACCTAACTTAACCTGACCTAACTTAACCTAACTTAACCTAACCTTACTTAACCTAACCTAACCTAAACTAACCTATCCTAACCTAACCTAACCTAACATAACCTAACTTAACCTAACCTTACTTAACCTAACCTAACCTAAACTAACCTATCCTAACCTAACCTAAACTAATTTAAACCTAAGTTAGGTTATGTTAGGTTAGTTAACCTGTCCGGTGATGTTTTACTTAAAAGCGATCGTAATAAAAACTACATATTCTTGTTCAGGATGAAATTCCGCACAATTTGAGTACCCACAACATGGGTTTGGAGGAAAAAAAATTACCCGTTTTCCCGTTTTTCGGTGATATTTTACTTAATAGTGGTCCGATCGTAATACAGTTTACATATTCTTGTCCAGGAGGAAATTCCGCATAATTTGAGTACCCACAACATGGGTTTTGAGCAAAAAATATTTTTCCCGTTTTCCCCATTTTCCGGGAAAACGGGACGTTTCCGAAAAAAACGACAATCATTTTTGAAATCAGCGTGAAATTTCGACCATTTTGAAAAAAGAAATTTTTAATTTCGCGTGAGGTCCGGAGGTCGATATAATTACCAAATCTTTTTGTGATAAACGAATAAATTTTTAAAGCCGTTTATTTATTTTTTTTTTTGCAAACAGTATTCATCCAGGCAAACGTGGAGCAAAGTGGAACACATCATTAGTTATTAAACAAGTACAATAATATAATATGCACGTGAGCTGCCGGAACAGCCCGTGTGTTGGACCATGACCAGTTCCTGTGTTGGCGTCATATGCACAGGAACAACAGTTGGGGTTCGCTATGGGAAATGGTTGTATTAATATGTCATGTAAAGGTAAATACTGAGCTTACAATAGATTACAAACTGTGTTCACATTTTGTTTTCTCTCTGTTTTCTTACTTAAATTTTATTTTTTTGTGTAAGGTAATTTAAATTCACGACTTTTAAATATATACATGAATAAATATGTACATGAATATCCCAGTTTCATAAAGAGTTAGCTTAGAAAGATTTTTACTATAGTACAAAATATAGGTACAATAAAAAAAACGCCTAAATTTATATTATTAATCAATATTAGTCCAACTGTTCGAAATATAAAAGTGCCCGTTACACCGAAATGAACCCCTTTATAAAGATTTTGCTCTCTTTAAACCAGATTCGGCTGAATTTACTACAACCTGACACGTAAGAGTGCGATCGTGGAAGATGGTTTGTTTGGTAGGAAGGTTAGTGGAGAATGAGTGATATGATGAGTGTTGCCATGGCAAATCTCAACTAAGTACCTGCAAATCATTTATGATTTATTTCCAATGATCTAAGTGGTTCCAAGCTGGGTGTAATTTTGAACTACCAAATCTTTTGTGACCTTCCTCAAAGTCGACGTGGTGATGTCCTTACTAAGTGAACGCCTTGCAGTGGATTTTTAATCGTAGGTAGCGTACATTTATTGTTTATTCTTATTCCGTATATAATAGTTTTTATTTTCTAAAGGAAATTAAAAATGTGCTAAAAGTGTATATTTTGCTTTAAAAATCTAAACTAGTTTTTCATATAGACCTAACCAAACGGAAACATCTTTTAATCTTTAAAATGTTTACAACAAACAATGCAAAGCGGTGTAAAGTATTGTTCTGTAAAAGAGAAGAATGTGTATAAACTAATATCCTTTTGGATGAATCTCAATATAAGGTATCTCTGTTACAAGGTATATGTCGTTGTGTATGTAAACTCGAAGAACCAAATACTTGGAACTAAATTTATTGAATGCGTTCCCAATATTATTATTTTGACTATGCACAATAGTTTCCATTTATTGCAATTAAACATCTGATAAATCTGAGTAAAACAATGAATACTAATTGAACGGATTTTAAACGCAATTCTAATTTGCAAACAGTGTAGCATCAGCAAAGTAAGAAGTTGGAGAAGTAAGTTTATCTTGTGTTAATTTTCTGATTTAATCTCACACCGAGATTGTTGTGAAGTATATACAAAGTACTTGTGCACAAACAACTTCAGACTTCTGCTTAGTTGTTTCAACTTTATACCTTTCTTGTTGAAAACCTGCAGTTCTCCATTTAATGAGTTTCTTCCGCCATAAAAATTAAATCTATTATGCAATATCAAACTTATATGATGTTTTAAAAGTTTGTGTATGTATTGAAGAAAAGTTTATATTATTATCAATTAGAAAACACTGTTTGATTGAAGATTTTACTAGATTTTGTATGCATTATTTTTGACAGATATGAAACTCGTTAACTTAATCAGATACAGTATGAAATAAACATACCTAAAAAATACCCAATGGACGAGTTTGTTATTGAATCCATTTTTAATAACGTTATACCACGTATTTAACTATTAGTTATTGGTATAGCTTCTACTTGCAAGTGTCATGCTTTTACAATTACGTTATTTTTAAATCATAGCTTTTCTGTGTCATCAATTGTTTGACTATGCACGAAGTCAAAAAACACACATTTATTTTGAACGGCCAAAGGACAATTCCTATTATTGCTGTATTTCAAAAGAAAAAATATTTTAACGCAACGATATAGATGTTAAATAATCGATAAATAATCGAATAATCTGTGCTAGACAATACCTCTTGTTATTGCAATATACAGCAGCTTTGGAACAAATGCGTAAAACAGAAGGATTTCTTTGTGTTGGCAAAATAAATTATAAATAGTCTTCCCTTGATAATACATTTTTCGAGATGAACACGGTTTACACTGCAATTAAATAACACAGTCAAAGAGAAGCGTGCATTTGATGTCTACAAATACAGTCTCACGATATGTACAGTCGAGTTTGTGACAATAATGTTACTATACACTACTAAACTCAAATTGATATTTTAAACTGATTTTTATTTCTCTCAGAGTACAACTTAGTCGTTTGAGGATTTAATATGTCTACAATGTTACTGAAATACATTTTTTTGTCACCTACGGCGGCATTTACAGGAGAAATCACACAGGAAGTTTTAGGGAAAGCTGTCGAAACCCGTGTGTTGTTAATGTGCCGGGAATCGAACCCGTACATCGCACACCTAGTCCAAGCCGCTAATCACAAGTCTAGCAACAGACTCTATTTTAGTTGCTAAATGTGCACTACAAATATTTCATACACTGTACTGGTATCCTACAAGCCTGTTTCGCTAATTTAATCTTCTTTAAAAGAATAGTAGCCTACACATATTCCATTAGACACTTTTAGTAAGAACTTTGTCCATTGTGGCAAGCTTATTTAATATTTGAGTAAAGAACTTGCTTTAAATTACATAAAACCAGAATTTTTTGTTCAACCTTTGGATTTTATAATTAAATTTTTTTTTACTATCAAGTTTTAATGTTATTTCTAAACTAAAAGCAAAATAACATATTACATTTGTATGAACAGCGTACTCAAGTTTTCATATTTCGTAAATTTAATGGTTACATTTAGTAAATAATATTAAAAACTAATAAGCGCAAGTATAAGTAAGCAAGTATACTATATATTTGACATTTTTGTAAGTGATTATTTTTTTAGAAATTGTGTCAATACATTTAGACACTATTCATAAGATGTATAAATATTGTAGACGTAACTCACGTGTGGTGGGAGCGAGCGCAGCGACGAGCAGAGCGAGGGAGAGGGAGACAGGGAGACTCATGCTACACGCGTGTCATCGCGACCGCCGCACGGGCCACACTGGCCGACTACGGGGTACTTGTTGCGGGGGGTGGCGGGGCGGCGCAACAGGTGCCACCCTACCATTGTTGATCAGCTGATCATGATCGATAGCAATATGGCCAGTACAAATATACAGCATCAAGTACATACAGTAATTGGAACATAATGTAACACAAATTCACAAATAACAAATAAGATTACAAGGATGCGAGCGAAATGTTATCTTTAATTAATTGATTTGTGTCCTATCGACTTTTAAAAATATATCTGGAATATTCGTGAAATGTTCAAATATTTTTACAATTAAATATGTATACATGTCATAATATTTACAAGTTTTAACTCCTGTTCCTTGAGACTATAGAGGGTGGTCAGAGATGTACATAAAATAAACTAATATACGCCTTGTATAAATATAGCTGGATTTCGAAACCCGTTCATTAAAAGGTTATAAAAATTAAAAATTATACCAAACCGCTAGATAAAAAACATTTCATAACAATTCGCCAAATTTGTATATAAATAATTTTCTGTTAATATACAGCAAAATAACCATTTTAAACTTTTACAGTACATCATGGGAGACTATTAATGAGAGATCGATCCGTACTTGAGAAATAAATCAAATATTAATTCCGTAGTGGACTGAAAGTAACCAAGGTCACAATAGATGTTGGCAAAGACTGTCTTAGAAGAATTGACAACGGTTCGTGATCTCCTTAATCGCTGAATACATTATATACTAAATCTTAGTACTGTATCGTATTGCTATTCATTAAAATAATGTGAAAACCCTTTACACAAATTGACGACTTATAAACTAATGAATGCCGTACAATTAACAAATATAGACACTCAAGCAAGCCCATTAGGCAACTAAAATCGTGACATCCCCACTTAGGAATGTTGTTTTACTAACGTGTCATTAATCACAGTCCTCATCATGAAGCCGCGAGGTCATATAGTCGTGTAGTGACAACATTGCCAGTTTACCAACCAACTCACAACAATCTGCCACTGTCGGTACAGAACAAGTTATGCGATATATGCAAGATCGTATGTTGAAAATAGCAACAACAGTATTAATAAATTCAGCTTGTACCTAGCCAAACTAAACATAACTAAAACTCCAAATATGATTAGGAAGGTAGTCTAAATATTAAGGAGTAATATTTACCCAAAATATAAAATATCCTTATAGCCTAATCATAATAATAACTCAGAGAAAGAAACACGTATAGAGGTGATTATTAACAAAACAATAATTGTGCTGTACTATTAAATTGCCTTTAAAATAAAGTTCTTTAACAATACAGGTTATAGGGAATTTTTTAGTTAATTACTTGCTAGACCTCAGTATAACGTAGGGTCTGCACTCGTATGGGCAACATGGTGATACGGGTATATCGATTCAATTTTAACATTTCTCAGAAGTATTATATACTGTACCTTACTCTTCTGTTCTAAAGTGAATAATACATATTTTTAAACCTGTTTATTTTAGCAACATCTGTAAATTAAATATGTTATTTTTAGTAACAATTTACTTGGAATATGCTGCGAATTCTTCAATTAAAAGATATAACCAAATGTGTATTAAACCTTTGTTTCGCGTATTTATTATATCTTCAAAACCCCGAAGGAATTAAATACTGTAACAACCTAAAATGATTGTACACCATTCAAAATTCAAATTCAAATATATTTATTTATGATAATACAACTTCTTGGTCTCGCCATGTTTACAAATTCCAATTTATACAAAAAAATAATAAACAAAATTTAATTTTTTTTTCTTTTGTCTTTCAAAAATAAATGTTTTAAGCGCTACTAACTCCATGGCGGTTTGTGGTAAGCACCTGTCTATACAGAATATAGGCAGCAGAAATACAAAATTATAAATATATTCTGAAAAAAATGCTTTATCATCTATCTGACTTATAATCAAGGCTAATGCCGGAAATATAATATAATTATAATTATTCCGGAAATATAATTATTCCGTTGTCTTTGTTTCCCTGGTTCATAGACCTGGTTCAATATTTTAAAATATTGAAGAGTCAGTGTCTAACTGGAAAAAAATTAGAATCGTTTGTTTCTAGTTTCTTGCTTGTTTGATGAATTAAAACATAAAAAAATCAAAAATCATAAATAACAATATAAATAAATAAATAAAAATAATAATATAATAATTATATAAATAATAATAATAATTTATAACTATATAAAAATGTAATAATAATTTAAATAATAATATATAATATGTTATTATAAATTTTATAATAATATAATATGAAAATAATAATATAAATAAAAATAACCAACCATCAGCGTACAATTCTGTTCTCTTAGCTCTAAGGATGACAAGGCCAGAGGGGAGGTCGTTGTACAGCTTTGGGCCGAAATAAATATCCTTTACAAAGTATAAAGTATTTCAAAATATAAACAATTTAATTGGTGTAAAACAATTAATTATTAAAAGGCACAAATACACAATTTTTATACAAAAGAGGTTTATTTTATGAGAGAAGATTAGTAGTAGGTGTTTTATAAGAGGGGATCCTCGATGAATTATGGAGATTTACATATTTAAATGCGATGGGACTGTTATGAACAAAGACATTTAAATTAATAATAATTTACAAAACAACTTGACTAAGCAATTGACAACGTTACTATATAATATGGTGTAATAAATTAGAGAAATTGTCTTGTCTCCTTTATTTATGCTTCTTGATTAACAATAACAACATCGAATATCATTAAGGGAAATTTTATGTGATACACCATTGCAACGTAAGTAAATCATTATTTCCCTTATTTAATATAAAATTCTTATCTTAATTGGTTTTTTATTACCAAATTTAACCTTATTTGGTATAAACACATCATGTAATTGCATACCATGTTATTAATTTCTTATTAATAATAATAAATTAAATTTATTTTTGACACAGTATTGTATGTATAGTTCGAGTGAATTCAACAGTAATTTCAGTCTTTTTTTAATATTAATTTAAAAGCTCACGATAAAGTTGGTAATAGATTTATTTTATGTATTGCACAACAACAATATAAACTGAGTGTAGTTCCTCTTTGGTAAACTAAGCTTGTTAGAACAACTGTATGTTTGTAACCCGAGTATATTTTGCCTAAGTGACCTACAAGACTACTTACTGTGTCTGACGTTTACATCGCATAATCAGGCGACAGAGCCACTTTGCCTGTTGTTGTCGGAGTTGCTGTCTTAATCACTGTTGTCTTGCCTTGCAACTTGTAGTTTGGTGTGACACTAACAACACTCCTTACTCGGTACGTGGCAACTCATAACATACTTGGCCACACTTACATAACTTACGACGGGAATAGCATGTCACGCATTAAGGATCTAAACATGGTATTTCAAGATGCTCAAGAAAGTGTTTTGAAAATTAATGGCGTGCCAAACTTTTTCCTCAACTGGTAATTTTTTAAATCTAGCAATGATAACAGAATTAATTAAGTGTATTAAAATTCAACTCAAACTCTAATTATTTTTTGTCGATAGCTTGAACTTAGTTTTTTTTTTTCATTTGTACTGTACTGCAACAATACTCATAAGTAGGTTCAGAATATCCACGGTTGCAATCCATATATTATTTTATGAAAGCCCAAACCGATAAGTGTGTGACAGTGTGAATCTTAGTCAAGAGTTGTGTTTTATCGATCCGATTCTTAAAACACTACTTTTGGTTGACGAAAACTAGTTAGAAACATCACTAAAAAGGTGGAAAAATAAGTAGGACTGTAAAAATTAAATGTAGTTAATTGTTATAGTTTGTCTTAAATTGTGTGTCATATAACCTACCTTCCTAGTTCAAGATAATGTGATGTTGAATCCCAATGGTAAGTAAAAACCCACTTAATTAAATATAAATAAATGTGTATAACATGCAGTTTATGTTCTTGATTGCAAATAAAAGTTTTAAGTAAACCGCCATATAGCGTGACATCGTGATAAACAACTTAACATTAGTAAAATAAACTCGATGAGATGCAATTCGTAGAATAAATTAATTCAATTTGCATCTCGTTGCAGATTCGATCTTTTTTGCTTGAGATTTTAATTGCTCACACATGTATTCTGAAAAACTGTTCCTAGAAACATAGTAATGAAGTGAAGTGTACACGTTAACAGCACATAAACTGCCTAACCTACTGTTAACGCCAGTTACAATCGCCTATAACGGATCCGTTGTTAACGTACATGCACTTGTCATCACAGCTTTGTCATCTAGCACTAATCAAATGTTGATTCTAAACAAACCAACCCTTTAATCACCCAGCCATCCATTGTGTTTATTGGTTCAATTTGTTGTAAGCATGATTACTAACGCTGGCCAAATTGTCAGCCCGGTCATTTAGTTTTCTAACATAAAGCTTCATTAATTAAATCTGCCCATTGAATGGCTGAAATGATTAGATCAAATACATTTAAAAGTAAAAGTATTATTATATATTTATATTATACAGTGTGCATATTAGGTCTTGAAACAAATCTGTATTTTTTAAACCAAAATAGATAGAAATATTCTGTTTGTGGCGTTGATTGTTAACAAAGGTTCCGTAAATTTTAGATCCAAAATATATTTTCCCCCAATAAAGGGGGTAGGGGGTGACTCATTTTTTCCAAAATAGCAACCCCTATTAAGTGACATACAGTAAATCCAATTTTGGAACACCTGCCATTTTGCCTAAGGGTGAGATATCAACCTCGGGTGTGCGTCATTGTGTTTCTTTTGACAAACCCTTCGAAATGGGGGGTCACTCAATAGAGATTACTATTTGAAAAAATAAGTCATCCCCTACCACCTACCCTTTTAGGGGGGTTAAAAAATATTTGTGATGTACAAAATTGCGGAATCTTTTTTAACAATTATTGCCACAAGCATAATATTTCTATCTACTTCGGTTTAAGAAATACAGATTAAGACTTAATTTACAAACTTTATT